AATCTTGGACAAGGATGTGGAGGGGGACCCAGAGGCAGAGGACGACTCAGAGGTCAGAGATGTATGCAGCCAGGAGCTCTTTTCTACCCCGGATGAGGCTAGCCAGTCACAGCTGTCGGATTTTGGCGAAGCGCAAACAGGAGAGGAGACCCCTGGTAAGTTGATTTGATATTGGGAATCACTGAAGTGAGTTTCTGGGGGCAGGAGGGTTGCAGAAAGCAGGCTTGTGTATGTATGATGCCTCATTAACGGTAACTTTCATGTGTCACTGTGCCATCACGGGGGGGGGGGGGGGGGGAGAGAAAACGACACACACGACACCATTGCTGCATACAGGTGAGCTGCATAAGGGCCAGGGCAGAAGCCGCAGTCTTGGAGAAGACCCTCCCTTGATTCCCTGCTCACCCTCAGCAGCGAGCTCTTCCATAATGGACACAGCCTGTGGAAAATGTGGAGCCAGGAATGATTATCAGGCCACCCTTACGTGCCCAGTGTACAGTAGGGTCCGGGAACACTGATTTACCCTGCCCCTGCGGCTACTCACCATTTTGGGGGTCTTGTGGCTCATGTGTGCTTGTCTGGGGTCAGCCAGCTAGTGACAGGTATGTGAATAGTGGCTGTGTTTTAAATCACTGAATTAGTGTTCTGTGTGTTGCAAACAATACTGCTTCTATAAAATGTTGCGTTTTGGCTTCATAGAGATGACCTTGGGAGCCCAGCCTCCCTCTTTCTTATTGCCAGCTGAACGGCTGCACAGAATTAGAAAGTGGACACAAAGAACTAAGGAGGACTTTCTGCGTGACGTTATTATGCACTCCGCAGTCGAAAAACAGGAATTGAAGGAATGGCGGGACAGCGAGAAGAGGGACCGAAAGGAGAACGCAGCACACCAGAATGAAGCCACGGAGTGGCTCTTAAACGTTATGGAGCTCCAAGTGGACATGCTCCAGGTGATACTAGCTCTGTGCCCGCCCTCCCCTGCAGCCGCCGTCGCAAAACTCTTTCCCACCCTCCTCCCAGACACCGCCAACACACTCTTATCAACCTCCGGGCGCCAGTCTGTACTCACGGCATTCCACTCCTCCCCCATTACAGTCCAGCACTGCGCACTCCCAGTACCCACTGTACTCAACACCAGTCCCTTTGCACTATAGCCCTGAAGTACAGTGCCCGCTGCACTGTACTCCAAAGCAGAAGGTTGGATACAATCTCTGGACATACACAAATCTTTAACCCTCCCAGGATCCCACCTCCTCCTGGGACCTTGCATTCCCCCGTCCACCTCAGTGCTGATGTGTTTTTTTGTTTGACTCTCTCCTCCAGTTGTTGTTTTTTAATAAAAATTGTGTTGGTTTGAAAGAAATCGTTATTCTATTAATTGAAAGCAAACAGAGCCCTGCAAAGCAACAGACAATTGTCTTAAACCTTCATACTGCATCAACTGCACCAATCACAATCACCTCCTAGCATTACAAGCACTGCACTCCCGAGCAACAAATATTAGTGGCTTTCAACTTCAAATCACTGCCTCAAGGAATCCCTGATCCTTATGGCTCTGCGCTGCGCCCCTCTAATAGCCCTGGTCTCTGGCTGTTCAAATTCAGCCTCCAGGCGCTGAGCCTCAGCAGTCCAGCCCTGAGTGAAGCTTTCACCCTTCCCTTCACAAATATTATGGCGCGTACAGCATGCGGCTTTAAGCATTGTCATCAGCCAGGTCCAGCTTCCCATATAGGCAGCGCCAGGGGGCCTTTAGATGGTCAAATGATGGCCTTTATATGGTCAAAAGCACACTCAACAGTCATTTTGCACTTGCTCAGCCTGTTGTTGAATGGCTCCTTGCTGCTGTCAAGGTGTCCCATGTATGGCTTCATAAGCCATGGCATTAAGGGCTAGGTGGGATCTCCCAGGATCACAATGGGCATTTCCACTTCCCCTTCGGTGATCTTCTGGTCCGGGAAGAAAGTCCCTGCTTCCAGCTTCTTGAAAAGGCCAGTGTTCCGAAAGATGCGTGCATCATGCACCTTTCTGGACCATCCTGTGATAATGTCTGTGAAACACCCAACAGTTTGGGATCCATTCCTGCAGACCGAAGAGGCAAAGTGCGCAGTACACAAACCATTGAGAGATGGCACCAAATGTGGACGGAAGCACAGGGATTGCTGGGATGTGAAGCAATGCATCATAGGGCACTGGGAGAGGACCCAGGATGCCCCACGACCCCCTCCACCTTCCCACAACTCTTAGTGGCAGGAGATGTTCTGTGGGATAGCTGCCCAGAGTGCACCACTCTGAATACTGCTGCAAGTGCCGCAAGTGTGAACACTCTATTGTGCAGGCAACAGAGTGTGAACACACAACAGTGGTTTCCCTTCAGCACTCTCTGAGCGGCGCTGTAACTCTGCCAGTGTAGACATACCCTTAAAATCTCCACATCCCTATCCTCTGCTCTGTAGTGCAGCACATATGTGAAAGCAGGATTGCACTAAGTCAATGAGTTTTAATTTTGGTAGGAGCAGGCCCCCTGCTCTGCACAGCTCTATGTTGTGATCTGCACCCCAACTCTGTAGACTTTTCATGTTAGTCACCCTCTTAGATCCTATGCTCATCTCATCTCAGTCTCTGCTGCCCTATGAGGCGCTCTCCCCCCATGCCCAAACCCCAATTTAGCATTCCCTCCTGAACTCACTCATCCCCTTTGCAGAATTCTCCCCTTCTCAACCTGTGATCTATTCTTAATCCTTGGCTCCCTAGCTTACCTCTCACCTTTGCCCAAGTCCTCTACCATCAGTCTCTGCTTAACTCCATACCCAGGGGTTCTCAAACTTCATTGCACCACGACCCCCTTTTGACAACAAAAGTTACTATACAGCCCCAGGAGGAGGAACCAAAGTCTGAGCCCACCCGAGCCCCGCCATCTCGAGTAGGGGGAGGCCAAAGCCTGAGCTAAACCACCCTGAGCTGGGGGGCCAAAGCCAAAAGGCTTCAGCCCCAAGCAGGGGGGCTTGTAACTTGAGCCCCACCACACAGGACTGAATCCCTCAGGCTTCAGCTTCGACCCCAGGCAGAGGGGCTCGGGCTTTGGCCCCAGGTGGTGGGGTTCAGGCTTTGAGCTCCAGCAAGTCTAAGCCAGCCCTGGTGACCCCATTAAAATGGGGTTGCAACCACCTTTGGGGTCCCAACTCACAGTTTGAGACCCGCTGCCCTAGATGCAGAGATCTGTTTCCTCTAAAGCAAAACTCTTAACAGGCATCTAGACTTTGTTTACTTGTGCAACTACTCACCTCACTGCTCCTCCCCTTCCTTCATCTTAATCCTTCTTGTGTCATACTTTGTGTGCCCATCATCTATTAAGAGTTCTCTCCTTGCCCCATGTTGTGCAGAACTCATTCCCTGCATCCCTATGAAGATATCTTGCCTTCCACCTCAGCCCTACTCAGCTGCCTCCACTTTGCAGAACTCCCAGGGTAGCCTGTACTTTGAGCTAGAGGAGTAATTTCCAGCTCGAAGAAACATACCCGGGCTAGCTCTGATGAACTAGTAGGCTAAAAATAGAAGCGTAGCTGTGGCAGCCCAGGGCTGGACAGACTAGCTGCCTGAGTTCACACCTAGTGTCTTGGATGGGATTGTATTCAGGCCAGTTAACCCCTCCCACCACTGCTAACACACTTCTATTTTTAGCATGCTGGCTGGATTAGAGCTAGCTGGGCATGTCTCCTGGAGCTCAAAATTATACTTCCAGCTCAAGGGGCACCATACCTTGAATGCACCCCTGCAGGCCCTGATTAGCTTCCTGTTCTATGCAGCTTGGCCTTGCTTAGCTCACCACCCTGCTCAGCTCTCATCTACTCTGTGGCATTGCTCATCTCCCCACTGCTGTGTGGAACTCAGGCCCACTATCCTACTTTGTATGGAGGCCTCCTTCACCCGCTCTCCTCCTTTCGATCTCCCCCACCCCCAGCACAACCCTCCCCATGCACACAGTATACAGCACTCCCCATAGGCGTTGAATCCAGGGCTGGAGCATCCACGGGAAAAAAATAGTGAGTGCTCAGCACCACTGGCGGGACCTGCCAATCAGCTGTTCCCCCTCTCTCCTTCCCTCCCAGCGCCACCGGCTAGCCATGCATCAGCTGTTCAGTGGTGAGGAGGCGCTGGCGGTGTGTGTGGAGTGCACTCAGGGCGGAATGGGGCGGGAAGAGGCAAGGCAGAAAGAGGTGGAGTGGGGGCAGAGCAGGAGTCCATCATCCCCAGGGAAAATGAGAAAGTCAGCACCTGTAGCACTCCCCTGCCACATCAAAGCCCAGCGCACAGCTCTCAGCCTGCATCTCTCTTCCCCCCACCACCCCCAGGGCACAGCTCACAGCCTGTAGCTCCCTTCCCCCCCGGGCACAGCTCACAGCCTGCATCTCTCCCCAGGGCACAGCTCACAGC